TCGTTGGTTTTCATGTTCCTGTCCAGGTGAAGCTTCAAACTGTCAGCGCATGGGGCGTGGCGAATCACTTCTATCGCGTGATCTATTGGGGCAGACCCCAACTTAGGCCCAAACCCTGTTGTCTTCCGAAAGACAGCTGGGACTAGCGGCATGTGGGCGTGCAGGGGCACCTCAGCGCATGCCGAGCACCCCTTGTCCAACAGCCTAAATTTGTTGTAGCCACCGACCACACCTGCACAGCGCTTCCTGTGCAGCTTTGCTTGGATAAGATGTCTTGTCGAGCCCGGGGCACCGGAGATAGATCTCGCGGCATGTGGTCTACACCTTTGGACGTTGTCTTCGACAGCGTCCTTGGTCAGGCTGTCAGGTATCAGATATAACACGGTACCAAGTGCAGACTCAAAAAATGTGAAGGTCCCCATTTGAGAACTAGCACAGTAGCAAGCCCCTACACCCACGCTTGCCGAGGCACTGCGACAGCTCTGGCTTAGCCGAGCTGGCCGCGGGCATATCCACTTGTGGCGGCGCTTGCGCTATCTCAGTCATTTTCCGTCCGGACTGCAGGTCCTGACGCTTTTTATCGCTTTTTGAAGTGGATGCTGCCGGACGGACGTAGGAAGCAACGTGTCTGGGTCGAGTGTCACACACACACATATCTTTACATGCTGTTTGCAAGCTCCACCGCCAATCCAGATGTGCTCAAGACCATTGCCACATCCTGCGAAACTACTGGTGGCATGTCACTAGCCAAAGTCTGCTCCCTTTAATGCAACCCAGCATTGTCCTCCATCCTTTCCTCCAAAGTGTTCAGCTGTGTTGCAATACGGCTCATCTGATCCTTGACGTCCTGGCTCTTCACAGGGAATCGCGAGCATGCTTGGAACTGAAATTTAAAAGCTCCCCGCAGAATGGCTGGGAGACACTAGTCCAGCTACCTTTCATTCATATTCATTTTCCTTTGTATTCACTCACCATACCATTGGGACTCCGGTTTGGGGACACCTGTATATCTGCTTTCACGGAGCACCTGAAACACCCAGGAATCTGACAAACATAGTGATGGCCTTGCCCGATCTCTCAACGACCTTTCGCATGTTGATGAGATCCTGGCAGGTTGTGACTGGGTCCATGTGAGGCAGCTGACGCTACTTGAGCTGAAGGCAAGACCCGGTTTGGATCCCTGACATGACTACGTCTCGGACACACCTCCTCCTTTACTCCTCCTCTAAGCTGTTCATTCGCAGGCAAAGGCAACCTTCTCACACCTATTGCTGGTCCACTGCGATGGCCTTCACTGTGCAGGTGTTGGTACCCCGCAGCTGCAAGATCTCATTCATGAAGTGGGAGAACCTGAATGTTCTAGCTTCTTGCGCAGAAAGCTTTTGGAGGACTGCTGAAGTGACTACTGCCGACCTTTTTGATTAGTAGGGGCCATAGTAAGCTGCAATCCTTTCAGACGAGTGGCAGGACGGTCTCTTGGGTTCCTTCTTCGCCGTTCTCCTCCGCGCAACCCACGGATTGGTTCTAGCCCTGTCGAGCACTCAAGTTGCAGAGTGCGACATACACGAAGCGCACGTCCTTCGCGAAAATTTGGTCCGCATAGTCGATCAGGCCCACAGGATCTACGCCAACCTGGGAAACACCGGCTTGTCGGCATCTGTAGGAAGCCGTTTGACACGCTTCCACTTGTTGAGAACACATAGGTGTCAATGCTAACCCATGTGAAACGGAAGGAGCCCTCTCTCGGAAGGCAGGAAATGGACTCAAATTTTGGCATCCATATCTTACGAAACACCCTACGAATGCCGATATGGCTCCTTGTGCAGACCTGATGGCACCCAAGGACGCCCCAATTGACTCAAGGTTACCGTCTCCAAGGCTTTCAGGCCGTCGGGGCTTTCCAAGATCCTGTCAGTCTTCAAGCTTTTGGCGCTGCATGGCTTGGGGCAGCAGTGTAGGTTAGGTTGCTTTAGAGCATGTCCACGGACGCCCGAGCTTTCGGAGGACTAGTGCAGCAATTCGCTTCCCCTGTGAAGTAAGCTGATGCAAGCTGGGTCGAGGGCTCAGGGTGTGGGAGTTGGGATGAAGGAAGGTTGTTGAGCCAGGTAGTGCTGGCGCATGCTCCTGAGGCATAGTCCTGCCGACTCCTGGCATCATGAAAGCTGACCCTGGCACAGCCATACCGTACATATTTTTCGCTAGGCTGCGCGTATTGGACAGTAAACAACAATTGGGCTATGGGATCCTTCGCAACAAGGCGTCGGGGTCGCCCAAGGTACTGTACTGTGAGCTTCCGTCCTCAAGCTTCTGGCTCCTCTTCTTCCTAGCAACCATCCCAAGCCTCCATGCCCCCTTGCTTCCAAAAATGAAGCAAAGCCCAGGGAGGGCAGCTCCGAAGGAGGATCCTAATGGCCTGAGATGCCCGGCAACGCCCCACAGCTTCATCCAGAAGATTGCAGAATCCCTGCAGAAACCCAGCGCCAAAGAATCCTGGTGATTGGGATCCAACCTAAACTAGGGGGAGTAGGTTCCTTTATGAATGAAAGCATTCATGCGGTAGAATCGAGCGTGGTCTGCAGGATAAAGGAAGGTCAGGTAAAGAAGAGGGGCTCCTTTGCTGTGACTTTACACATTTGAGCGGGTAATGAGGCCGAGATGTCATCCCATCACATCCAAACTCCTCAAGAGACTGTGTTGCCGTTAAGAAATTTTGATTAAGTTACTCTAAGAAGGAAACCCTACTATATTTCGTTATATACCCATATTCTGGGTACTTCATTTTGATGAATCTAAGTTCCTTAGCAGCAACCCAGGATAAAGAATAGCCCAGACGACGCCTGAGGAATTCTGCGTGCGACATCAGCCCATCGCCATCCTAATCTGACAGCCCATGAGCTAAAACAGAGTACTGTAGACCCGTGATTAACAAACGCTCTCATTTCAAGGGCCGTAATATCAGGATCCAAATTATAATTCCTATGAAGGGGAGGGGGTTTATTAATCCCCGGTCTACACTAGGCTTTGGGCACTTATTTTTCATCCAATGGAAGGTACCACCTTGGTCATATGGAGGTTTCCACAACTCGGAGGCCCCAACATAGATCCTATACAGGTACTCCCAAACGGGACTCCGAATTTTTGGAAACTCGCTGGGCCTGTGAAAAGGCCGTTTTGCATTTGGGGAGCGTTCTCCTGCATAATTGGAAAGATGACACGCTCTTCTTTGCAAGGTACTATAACGAGGAGGACATTCTCTTCTCCATACTGGGGGCAAAAATAACTGCTTTTGAGATACCATAAATTTGTGGTCTTCGGCATGTGAGCCATTGTCTGCCTCCCGTTTAAAGGAGGGGTACATGGGCTTCGTGGCTTTTGTCCACATTTCCCATTTTTCAGGTTACCTGCTGCTTTCAAAATGAAGGGGCTTTACAAGATCCTGGGCCCTGTAGACATGAACCCATGACACTCCAGAAGCTCCTACACGCACACACCAAGTCAAGCAGCTTCATCGGCTTCGATGATGATGTCCTTGCTGTTTGGATAGTGAACAGTTTCAGCAATGTGAAGACTCTTCGCATTAAAAGGTTCAGAAGGAAAAGATTCGACATGGAAGCTACATGGCATACTCTGCCTAATGCGGGGACATAGAAGAAATCTGAATGCGCCCCTCAGCCACTACTCCACTTCTTAATGTCACATATTGAAGCACGCTAGGCGTCTAAGAGCTCTCGCTTCACCAGATCCACTAGAAGTTCTTCGCGCTCGCTCTGGCCCACCATGGAGACTACCTCGCACAGAACTCCTTGGCTGCTCATGCATGGGATTTTCGGGTTTCAGGCTACGGTGATTACTGCTCCTGGCCCCCGGCATTGAGGTTGCAGCTGGCCAGAAAGATGCAATTGCGATGTTCGAATAGGTCATTGTTGGCTGCACCTGTCAGCCTGCGACTTATTGGCCGTGTGCTAAAAGCCACCAAGAGTCCGATGAGCATGTTCATGAGAGTAATAGATGCCTCAGCTGGCAAGAAGCCTCGTCGACTGTCAACAAGACATTTTGGGCACGCGTGCTTCCATGGCAAGACCAGTTGAAAGTAAAGCAACCACATTTCCTAGACCCTAAACGGGGACTATTATGGGGGTTATTAAGGGGGATACCAGGAGACTTCGGATCTGGGTTCTTGGATCTTGCAACCTGCGTGTGCAAGGAAGACTGACGAAGCCAGGGCCCGGGCGATAAGCACAAAAAGGATGAACCTAGGACATTGTGAAGTTCTGGGCTTGCAAGTCTTCGCAGACCCCCTCAAGCATCCCAAAAAAGGGAACTCCAAAAAAGAACCCATTATTCTATTCTTTGGATCCTTTAAGGGGGTCTGGGCTGTCACTTCGCTGGAGAAGTCATAATATGTTTTCGTTAGCTGGAACAACGTGAGGATCTGACATCACTGCTCGCGCTGCAGGGATACTGATCTCATTTTCCACTTCTCCGTCCTGTGCAATACACATTTCCTGGTAGCAGGACTGCTTGGCTGGCTGGTCCCTACCCGGCTACAGGAACCGCAATCCCAAGCCTTGCTACAGCAGACGTCGCTTGTACATAGGGATGCCGCTAGGCAGCTCACCTTGTAATTTTGTAGAGGGGCAGCCCTGCAATTATCTGAACCGACAGGGCGATGTGTCCCAAAACAAAGCCATACAAGATCTACAGGCTGCACTGTAATTTTCAGCTGCTTCCAAAAGTTGAGTTGTGAATCAGGTTATGAAGCGCTTGGCGAAGTTTGTCATGAGTGGAAGTTGGTGGCAACCCATCGTTGCACTGGTGACAAAAAGCCGCTGCAGTTGCCCAACGGGGTAACCCCAAATCTGGCTGACTACCGTGACGAAAGCTATGCTGTAACGACTAGAACCCTTTAAATTGATACCCTGGCCTTCTTGGACTGAAGAGGTGAAAAGTTGAAGACATCTCAAATCCCTTGCTACATCCAAACACCTGGGGCGTCGGGCATGGCGAAAGCAAGGGCGTTCTGTCGCAGCGGAGTGAGCCTCAGGCCAGCGGCTTGCAAGCTTCTCTGGGTAGCATGTCGCGGGGTCCCAGTCATAAGGATTATAGTATATGCGGGTACATATATACTATGTATTATGGTCCCCCTATTTAGGGAAACTAGTGGGAAACTACTATATAATTTAATGCATGAGACTTGAGAGTTCAACCAAAGAAAGTGCACGCTCAGATCGGGGCAGATCCACCATGTCGTCCATGAACCTTAGCTTGGAAGGATGGTCTAGCAGCCTCGATCGATGGTCTTCACTTGTCTACCAGTATTTGATTCTTTTACATGAACCAGTTCATCAGCACGGAAAAGTATTTAGGTCTCCGAGTGGCACTCCGTGGAACAGCAGTGTCAGCATGGATTCCGGAACGTTGAGGAACTTCGCTCGCAGATCGCTTGGAGTATCTGGCCCTGAGCAGGTGCGCAACCCATGACTTCACAAGCAGCAGCAAACAATTTCTTCGCTAGCAGATGCAAGCACATTCGCAACTTCGCTCACCTACCCAACTCGACCAATTGTCCGTCCACCAGCACTACTACTTCCTGCTGCACTGACCACACGTCTCCCAGCATGCCTGCCTGAGCAAATTTGCGTGAAGGCTATGCCGAAGATGTACAACACCTGATCCATTGAGGGCGAAGTGGGGTCTCCACTGGAGTCTTTTGCATCATTTCGGGTGCTCCAAACGCATCCATTCAAGGATGTTGAAAGACTTGCTAGGGAATCCAGGGCTTCCACCAAGATCAGCAGAAAGATGGTGAAGAAAACGGACCGAGCAGCTGCGCTGATACCTGCAGGGTAGGCAAAACACATACTTCGGTAGTTGTCCATCCCAAGGTCAGGGATTCTGAAGCGCGTGAAAGTTCCTCCATGTATCTGCCAAGGAGGGAGAGCCGCGAATGCATAAAGGGCAATGGAGAAGACCTGAAATTCAGGCATTTCAAGCTCTTTTTGTGATTGTCTGGATGCTTGGAATTAGAGATAGGGTGGGCAGGTATCAGCATCCACGTTATTGCAGAGTAAGGTCATACTGTCAGCGTTCATTTTGCTATTGAGCTCGATGTTCCCGTTGCTAGAGTTGGTGACCATGTAGAACAAGCTCCGAACGTACCAAATCAACACCGCGTACTGCCCAGGTCTGTTCGTATTGAAAAAGTTGGCAACAGGGACGTGCAGAAGCCTGCACCCTGTTGCTACTTGTGAACCCATCCAGGACTTTCTTGCAGCATGCTACGTCGAACAACGACAATCAGGGGCGCTTTGCTGTGGTTTGTAACCTTATGGGAAACAAGGATGTCGAGGAACATCTTAACAACGAGCACCTGGATTCTGACTGACAACTTGTCCACGCTGACCCAGTTTACTATCATGTGTCCTCAGTTGGGCTAGGTAAAACCTCCAATGTAGAAGTATGAATGATCAGACTGGGGCTAGGCCATCTAAGCTGTAAATGCACATCAGGCATATAGCGAGATAACGCTTGAAATCAATCATGTCTCTACCGTACTACCCGGTAGCAGGCCTTTGATCATGATGAGCACTTCCGGAAAGGCGCGCAAAAGCTTGGCCTGGGATGAAGAGAAAAGATATAGATTGGGCATCATCGCTCAACATTCCTATATCTGGCCCACGCAAACCTGGTGGTGCGGGTGCAAGTTTGGGAGAGCATCTGTGTAGGAGCATGGGAATCTGCGGAGCTAATACGGCGCACCAACCAAAAACCTTGCAAACTTCAGATGCTCCCGAGGTGACAGCCAGGCATGCTTGAAAAGGTTGGAACCATTGGGTCGCTGGTAGGGGCCTTTAAACCTGGGGCCCTCATGCCGATCAACTGGCGGCATGCTTGTATGCATTGTGCCACGCAAAGCCTCTTTCAACTCCTCTCCTCTTGTCATCACTGTCGTGGGCAATGGCCTGGCCGACCCTGAGTGAGATGTGACTTTCACACACGGCTTCGAAGACCCTGATTTCGTCAAGTTGCAGGCCAGGGCTTCTGCGCTGGCGTTCTTTGGTGGCCACTGGCCTTCTGTACATGCTTTACAATAGTCTTTACACCATCCTATACAAGCTTGAGGGTTTTGGGAAGGGCAATTCGCCTCAAGAAACAGCAGTGTGCGGTGTGCAAGCCTGCTGCCTCTACATGTCCCGACTCAGTTTGCGTCCGCGACGTACTGCGCAAAGCACTCACTCTCTTCCCGAATGCAGCTTGTGAACAGCTGGCAATCACCAAACGTTCCACAGGGGCTCCTGCCATCGTTGAAATTGTAGACGATGCAGCCAGGCGTGTTGTCACATGCACTGCGGCATTCGCTGGAGGAGCCCACCATGAGAGCTGAAAGCCTGTAGGAAGACTCCAGCCTGCACCCGATTCGACCGGCATAGGTGTAGCTTGTACGGGAAGGCGCTGAGCATTCCAGGTAGTAGTCCTTGCCCTTGAAGCTGTAGCAGTTGCCACTGTTTGGTGAGCAGAAAGCAGACTCACTGCATGAATTGCAGCAATTGCTGTTGCTGTTGCCGTTGTTGTTGCCACCGCTTCTGCATTCAAGGTATTAGTACTTGCCCTTCTGGTCGTAGCAGGTGCCACTCTGGGGTGAGCAGAAGGCAGTGCCGCAGCCGCTGCAGCACCCTGAGTGTGCCCAGCTGGCTCCAAGCAGAGACTTCTCTGCGCTGGTGGAGGCAGTGCCGTTGCGCCCTGTGCCGCGAAAGTTAGATGGTGCCGCTGCAGCACCACAGATTAGTGCGAGAACAAACGAGACACGGGCCATGGTGTCACGGAGCGAAGTCTGCGCAGCTAAGGACGCTTATCGAACCAAAACAAACCTTGCGAGCTGGCGATGCTCTGCGTACCGTGTGCTTCATGCTGGTCTCTTCAAGATCCCTCGGCCCCCAGTACAAACGACGAGCGCGGAGGCAAGACATATCCCTTCTAAACATCACAGAGTCTTCTTGGACGTGGGGTTCGGGCTCTCCAGAAGTCAGCCCTTTCAGAAACTCACCGGCTTCGGGGGTGTAGTCCTTGATGTCAGGTTGTGCCTGCCTTTTAACTGTGGCTTTGAACCACCGCGAGGTTCTACATGGCTGCCACTTGTCGGCTCGTCTCACGAATGCATTCGTTTATCCAAGGGGCCACCCGCGTCATCCGCGCCAGCCGAAGCAGTCTTACCAGACGGAGGATGGACGCATCCCCAATGCCATCACCTTCAGCCATTTGGAATGACTAAGATGCTTCTGCAAGTGCTGGAACCCTACGCGTAATTTGCCAACTGCAGTGTTTGCCCTTCACTGGTGATCCCACCGGAATTCTATCATGGCTGACATAAGTCCAGGCAACTGCCGGAATCTGCTGAGGGTTGCTGTGGGCACTTCTAGCAATTCCGGGCCCCTTTCTGGGGCCTCTGTATGAGCACAAGAAACCTTTTATTTTAGTTGTGGCCCCTTTCTATCCCCATGGACTCTTGTGGCCCTTCTTACAAGAAAACCCATATGTTCCAAAGGCTTGACAATATATTTTCCAAGAGGGATCTCGCGATCTCTGAGGCCTGGACTGGAAATGCTTAGCATGCCGAGGACGATAGGCCTCTGTGCAACAGCAGTCCCTCTTCTTGCTTGCCATCAGCAAAGTAAGGCCTTATACCTTCCTGGAGGTCCTAAGAACCAAGAAGGATCAGAAGGGTTAGCCATGAGGATGGTGAAAGAATGACCTTGAGAACCTCCGACGTCTGCAAACAAAGCCATGGACGTGATCCAGGTCTCCAGAATCATCAGCGAGACAAGGAGGGTGTCAAAGACAAACCTGGGTCATCAGGTCTTCCTGCGTGTCTCATAGGATGCAGAGGACAAAAGGCTGACGTCGTGCCTGGAGCACATACAGATGGCTAGCGAACAGGGCCCCCAACATCTATCCACTGCACCTTGCTCCGCTCTCTTCTCGGTCTAAAGCCGCAGCATTGGCTGGGGACCCGGGCCAGGCATCCCTGATTGCATACCTTGTCTTGCGGAAAGCCAACCTGATGGGCTGTCGATGGTTTGGAGGGCTTGGAGGCAGGGATGCCGGCATTATTCGGCATTGATGTCAAACCGTGCAAATCGCATGTGCGAATCTGATGCTCACGCATTCGCTACACAGTGTAGCGCAGAGCTGACAGGCGCCAAGTCACCATCGAACAAGCCACTCGAAGGTGAAGAATGCGCAGAACAGATTCTCAGCCTTAGGGAAACCAAGCAATTGGCCACTTCACGAACCTAAGCGTCTAGACCAATAGATCTCCAAGTTCGAGCCAAACAGTCACTTTGAATTCCAAGAGGTCTCGGGCCAGGAAGTGGTCACGCGCACATTCAGAAGAGACGCGATCTGGAATTCCAACGCGGCTTCCGTGATGATGGTCCTCGGTGGGGCATTCAGTCATTTGCATCTGCTTCTGACTTTTAATCCCCCTAAATGGGGTTGTAGAGCCCAATTCTAAGTAGGGTTATAATCCCAATTATAAGCAGGGGTTTGGGAAAAACGCTGCAAACTTGGGGCAGGCATGAAAGCAACCCCTTTCGACCGTAGCTTGGGGAGATGTAAAAGCAGATGGTGCTGCGAGACTGAGCTTGGTGCTTGTCATTGTTGTCCGTGTCGAATGCAATCCTGAAAGGTGTACGAACTGTAGTCTAAACTCCTTTAACAGGGTTACACGGGGGATTCTATAGGGGACTATTATAAGGCTTTTTAAGGGGGATACTAGCAGTTTAGACTATAGATCATATGAACATGATGAACGCACCCGGCGTGGACTTGCTGCTTCAGGTCAAACAAGGCTCTGTCAGCTTTGTCCACTAATTAGGTCACATTGCACAAGAGCTATGCTGGCCGCTGATGAGGATGCCGACACATCAACCCTTCGATGCACTCATCTGCCAGGCAAGCGTCCATATGGAGTTCACCTTGCGGGGCTGGGCCCACTGCAATTGGGATTCTAGTCTAACGTCACACCCCAGGAAATGCAAGAAAAAGGTCCCGCCGACGCACCACGAAGCTGAGGCAACAGAATCAATTTGAAATCGTGTAAAGGCTGGAGATGCTAGCTAGCACAGAGCCAAATGATACACTGAAACTTGCGGAATTAATCCTGCAAGAACTTGACGAACGACGCACTTTACGCCGCCGCATACCTTACCAGTGAACAGGTTGAAGGACAACTCCTGAAACGAAGTCAGCTCAAAGCATGCGCCGGTTTGCCACGCATTCACATGGTGGCATGCGCATCAGGAGAAGCACTGGCCAGAGGCAGGGCCCTGCGCTCCCTTCGATCTGGACCGAAGGCTAGTAGTAACATTATGGCCCAACAATGGGCTACTCCGATGTACAGCTCATACTTCCAAGCTGAATGATTCATGTCAACGTATAGCTTTAGATGCTTCAGGGGCACAGCGATGATGAAGAGCGTAAAGTTTTCGAAGTAATTGCTCTTCGCGATTCTCTGAAAGATCCCGGTGGACTTGTAATAGTCCTGTGGGGTGTGATCTCAGAGAACAAGTTCCTCTTCCTGAATGACCCGGTTGCGGCCCAGTACTGCTAGATGCCCTACGTAGGGATACTCGCGCTCATGCATTGAAGAAAGAAACAAATCACAAGCAGTCCTACACGCGTTATATGCTAAAAACTGTCTTCAAACCTATAACCGCCCAGAAACGACGTGGCTAGGATTGGCTCACACAGCGCTGCTGATGTGCCCTTGGTCACCTTGACCGAGTATGTCTGCTTTGTCATTTTCTGCCGCACGCTCTGCTTGAGGTCTTCCACGTCGGTGGCAATCGTCACCTGTCAGCTAGCTATGCTTGCACTCACCGTTAAAGATGTCCTAGGCATCTGTGAGTAACTACGGGGTAGCAAGGTTGCAATCCCTGCCAAGTCCGTGCTTGATGGAAACAAGTTGTGTACCAGGCTGCTATAGGCTGTAGGCAAAGCAACCATGCTCTTTTAACTTCTGTCTGCAGTCCAAACTTGCCGAAACGTTTTCCTTCAGACTGGAGACTGTGGAGGGGACGGGGCGTTCCACAACGCCCCTGCGAATGCTTTACAACAGAAACCTGCAATGACATTCAACTGCCTTGATTTAAGATGTAAATGCTGCCAAACACAGCCTCGGATTCCATCAACTGCCCACATCCATGGGATACTCAGTGCTGAAAAGTCACGGCTTGGGGCAGCTCTCCTGCAGAGACTGTCAGAGTGGTGTAGATTGGATGTGAATCTTTGTGCAAAACTGTAAATCGAAGTCCAAATCAAACAGTGCCCCGTCGTCCTTCACCAGGATCAAAGCAGAAGCAGCAGCAGCGCCGAAGACATTCTAAAACCTATGCGAGAACAGGAACCGAATTTAAAGCAACTTTACATCACGCTGCAAGGTCTACCACGGACCATATCTTGAAGGCTCCACTGGGCGACTGTTGCAAAAGAAAACATAGCAGCTGGAGAAAGCCAAAGCGTTCTTTTTTTTTTTTGCGTAGAGATCTGAGTTCGCGGCTGTCGCGCGCACGCCCAGCCGCTTCCTTGATGACCTGGGATTACGTATCACCCAGGATG